AAAAAAAAAAAAAAAAAAAAAAAAAAAAAAAAAAAAAATTGAATTGTTATTCACCTCCTCAGACATTGATTTCCATTTCTCACCACCTTCCTTGGCAACCTAAACAACATCATGGTTAATGAATACATAAGATACAACTCAAGTAAGAGAGTCATGACGTCTCAAACAACATTTTGGAGTTGACCATTTACCTTCGCCGCACCCTTGGTGTCAGGATTAGACTCCTTGAACGATTTTCTAAAATCATCCCTGATATTAATCCAAGATTATCATCAGTTTCAAATAAACAATCTCGCCTTTAAAAAATAGTTATCATAAGAATTGTTCAAAAGAGTTACATGAATACAAAGAATGCCGTAGGAGGGCGCTTCAGTTTTTTGGAATTGTTGGCAGTTTTCCCCTTTTGGACACTTGATTCTGTCTTCTTAGAAGACTTTTTCCTGCTTGGTAATACAAATGACAATTCAGTACAAGCACAGTTTAGTTATCCAAGCCCACACCCACCCACGCACAAATATTATACTAGCATTTATCGTGAAGAATGAAGATGAGAGAATTGCCTTTCTGATGGGGGTTTCTTTTTAACCTCACTTGGCATTTCCACAACTTGGGCCTCTGAAGAAGATCAATTAAGCAGTTAGTCAGTAATCTAACTCAAATACAACCCAAAAATTACAACAAAAAAACGTCACCTTTGTGCTCATGACTACATCTAAGAACAGAATAGTTGTAATTAATCGAAACAGAATGGAAGGAGTACCCAGATTCATCTTAATTTTGGCATCAAGGCTGCAGTTGTGAAAGCTTATCAGGGCAACTGGGACATCTTTGTTGCATTCTTCACTGCAAGATAATTGCACTTTGCATAAGCACAAATGAAATGACAAAAGGGTAATGCCACAAAACAGGAAATAGTTCCGAATTTCTTTCGATTCACATAGAAACATTCAAAAGAAAAATAAATAGTACCATTTGGCGAAAGCACTGCCGTCTCTCGCACGTTTCAGAGCAGTAGAAGAAGAGGTGTCAGCCTCAACCCTCTTTCTCAGTCTCGAAGCGTTTGATGAAGATGATCCACCGCCTGCCATTTTCACAAATTTCTTTCCTTGGAAAATCAAATACGAATAGAAAAAGGGGGAAGATAATTTGTATGTTTAGGGTTCGGAGAAACCGATTGTATATACTTATATAGGCAGAAATTGGATGACGGAGAAGAGGGAAGCATTGGAATTTGGAGGCAAATTCGAAAATGTGAGATTTGCTTTCTACTTTCGAAATGGCGCCAACAATGTGAATTTCGAGCTTCGCATTTTTTAGATGGCACCAATGGCGGCAATTTTCCTATATCCCCGGATCGTTGACGTGTCTCTGCCTTCAGCCGTCAGATTTACCATTGCATTTCCAATGTGCGGGTAGGATTCAAGGAAATATTTGGTTCGTGAAGGCGTAATTTGTTTATATTTTTTAGATTTGCTACACAATTTTGTTTGTACACTTAATTAAATATACTGTACCGTGCGATGCACGGGCTTTATTATTTCTTTCCTTTTTAAAAGACAATTGTATATTCAAATTAAAGTTGTATTATAAAGGAGTGATCATGACATTATTAATTATAATGAAAATGAAATATCTATATTATTGAACACTTCTTTATATACACAATTATTATATACAATGATAGAAAAATATATGAATATATAATGCTAAGACTCTAAATCCATAATTGAGAAGACGATCATTTGGGTTGGAACTCCTTTGTCAGTCTTTATTTGAATATATAGGTTGTATGGAAACAACCAATCCAATAATACCTACAAA